GATTTTATCGGAAAGGCCGTATACTCGCTGCTTGACTGTAGCATGACCACGCTCAAGCGCGGTGGATAGTTTTTAAGAATGTGAGTGTGTCGCGACAAGATGTGACGTGGTGTACACAGTATAATTGAAGCGGAAGCATTGTTGTACCTGGTACTATTCTAATGTCGATATAGCACGCAAAGTGCGACATAGCCCAGTCATAGATTGGACCAGGTAGGTGCACGACTAGGGCGCGTGAAAGCGCTTCGCCTCGGCTCGCCATGCTGGCCGTTTGTCGCAAACGCGACGATTACAATTTACCTGATCTTACCACTAGTTGGTAGCTAAAGGCTGTACCTGACGAAGGGATATCAACATGTCTCGATGCGCAGTTCAAAGGACAGATTCGCGGTATCCGATGTCGACGCGGCCGACCCCAGTAACAAGAAATCCCTCCATATAAAGAAAATCGACTCGCTGTCAACACTTTCCAAGGATTCTGGAGCCTTGTGATGGAGCAGCAATCAATATGTCGTTGATCACGGTCGCAGAGTCAATCGAAACTGCGCTCTGACACCCCTGTCACCTTGCTGTAGCCGCCGAGAAAAACAGAAATATTCATTTCTACTGCTGCTACTGCTCCTTCGATTGCCACCATCAGCAGGCAAATACTTGGATCTGCTCGAAGCCTCTGTATGTCTGCCGCACACGTAGCCGATTGAAGTGTTGTGGACTGAATCGGCAGTAACGGCACAGGCTACTAGTACAACACGAATCGCAGGCGAGTAATACGATGCCACGCCCGCGTACATGTTTATAACCCATTCGGCGGCCTTCCGTCGCTCCGCAAGCATACCTGCGCCGATGGTAACTGGGAAGCGCAGACAGTTTGTGCTGCAGCAAAACACGCTTCTAGAGTTCGGGACGTTAGCCGCCAACTCGGCCCGTGTGGTACAGGCTTGGCCATCAACGCTGGCCGAATGCGCCAATGCTCTTTCATCGCAGTCAGCAATCACATCAAGTCTGTGATGTGAGCGATAGAAGGCATCTAAAGAGTGTATGACACTGGCATCCTGAGCGAAAACACCTAGTCGCCTGGCGTGTATGCCACGGGAGTGCATACCGCTGTACCAAGAGAAGACACGCGACTCATTCGTGCCTTCTGCACCGAATTGCAGCAACGACGCAACTACCGTGCGGGAAACTGTGCCTTTTGACGACTAATTTGCGGCTGAGAAATGGCTCTGGGTTTTGCAAGTTGAGTCCAGACAGTGGAGCTCAGCAGTAAGATAACAGGAAGCCAGTCACAGCAACATAGACTGCTTCGACGCCAATTGCTCTTGTCAATCACAGAAGATAGAGAAGTGCACGCGATCTTCACAGCGTAGCGAGATGCAGGAATGACGCAAGCAGTCTACCCATTCGTGGGATCGGGTACGAACGGGGTGGTCCGATGATCATGCACCGCTGACCTTCGAGAATTGAGGACACGCACTCATTCTAGCAGTGAGAAGTAGCCAGATGCATTGGGCGTGAGATTTGCGGAATTATTCGATAATGGGTGCGATTGTCGATGCAATTGAAGTGGTTACTGCTTCTCTGCGAGTCACGAAGCAGCATTTACGCACTCCCTTGCTACCAAATTCTGCGTAGTGCAGGTAGAAGTGCTAAACGGCCACGGCTTAGCGCGGCGTTCAAAGAGGTTGGGGGTGCCGGATCCGGTATTTCGATTTGGCACTACCAAGCTTCCTCTAGCATCTTATGGATTTGGCGAGTTTAGATTTCATAAGAGAGCGGAGGTGAAGCTGGTTGGATCATGTGTAACACGCGCACATAAATTCAGCTCAATTTACTTGACCACAAATCAGACCGTGACAAACAAGCGAAACATCACCATTTGAACAGGCCAAAAGCACCCCATTTCGGATAGAAAAATAGCCCCGCTGTTACGATTTTTTCGACAGCTGGTCGTATACTTCGTCACTAGGCTCATATCAAGGGTGCAAGACACGGTTCGTACAACTTTTACTGGGCTTGAACTTTGTGGAAGCTCTACCCATGCGGTACTTGACAATATCTGCTATCGAGTGACAGCTTTCCGCCGCATCTCACGCGAAAGTGTCAAACTTAATCCTCGTTCACCAATAAAGAGGGCCAGGATGCGCTGGTTGCTGCAAACATCATCTCGACACGGAAGTGGCACTACGCTATTACCCCATCTGCACAATGCAATTCGATTGTGACGAGTGTGGAGAGTCGACAACACCTACGTCTAACATTTTACTTCCGTTCGCTCGTCGATATCCGCATGAACCGAGATCTTATATACCAACCAGTATTGTCAACTGTTCAAAGTTGTCGTTTGCTAACCCTCCTGCCTCTCCAATTGCTATGGAGATGGAGAGGAACAAAGAAGGCTTGAAGGATACGGTGGAGGCAAAGAATAAACTGGAGCAGGAGCTGATAGCTCAACTCAAACGTCGAGACTGCAGAATCGCTTGCGAGTTTTCGGATCTACTTAATCACATGAAAGAGAACGAGCGCGCAGCAAGAGCTGACCGAAGACGTGGAAGAGGGCTAAAGGCAGAAGAAGACGAGAATAAGAGTGGACTAACTGTGAGTAATGGACCGTCGTAAACGATGTAAACGATGTAATCAACGTCGTACGTGGCACAGATCCTCGCACAAGGTCACCCAAGAGATTCTTAGGACTACTGATGAAGTTTTCCGCAACAGCGCACCCCGCACCTGGATCACTTTGGCGTGTTGTTTAAGTTATACCCTTCTCGGGCGAACGTATTACTGTGACAGAAGTGTTTGAACAGTGTCTCAGTATGCTGCGATAATCAATAAACCTAAAGACGTCACAATTATCACATTTGCTAATTCCAGTCATGATGGGTCACTCAGTGCTCATACATTGAGCTTGGTGGTCACCTGACCCAATTTGACAGCGTACTGGAGGTTAACACTTAGTGGAGGACAACTATCTGGAGGGAGTACCGTAGGTAATAAGCCGATTCCACGAAAGCTGCTGGCTCGATAGCCTCTCATATCTATACGGACCACAAGGCACCTTTGCATTTCTAATGCAATGATTCTGATCGAGCAGCGCCGTCTCAAAGGACCGTTCTAGACGGTGTCAAGGGCTTTCTTTATGGCCTCTATGATTGGAGATGACCAGAGCCTGAGTTCGATCGTCCATTACTCCAGGCAGTGGTGAAGTGACGAGTTATCTGATGTCTTGTGAACTTTTGGGCATTGCACACTCTTAGAGCGACAAGTCGGTGCTTGTGGCGAAAGAGTACCAGCATTCGGATATAATGACGTATTCGTCATGGCCGTTGCGAGAATCTATGGCTTACTAGTTATGTCTCCCGACCAACGACGACCGAAAACTGAAAGAAGCATTTGTGTTTAGCACGTAGCTTGCCGTTTGCTCACTTTCCCTTGGGATTACTTTAGCGAAGGCGTGATACATTTTCCCGCTAAGACCGCGCTTCGAAACCCATCAAAGCTGTTTGCGTCAAGGTCTGCGACATCGACAATTCCATTTGTTGTAGTGAAGTGATCGAACTACCGACGAATGTACAACCAAAAGTAATCGCGACTTGCGAATGGCTCTCGACGACACATGACTTGTTGCTTTTCCTCAGAAGCTGTACCTCTTAGCTCTGCTTCACGTTACAATCACGTGTGTGTCAGCTGTACATGAATCCCGAGGTGGCTGAACATGCAACCTATCGCGCGTGCGCGATATAGGTCTGACTACACGCTCGACATGACCACTTTCTAAAAAAATTGCAACACATCGTGCAGCTGGTAGTGCGAGACCGAACCCCGAGGTCTCGTCGTTTCATGTTCTTTCGCCTGAAAGACGCGGACTCGACCGTTTGGCAAAAACACTGCGATCTCTAGTCAGCGATCCATGCTTCTGTTGCAGATTGCACTTGAGCGCGTACGAAACGCAGACCAACCGTTACTAAAGCTCGAAAGCCCTAACAACGAAGCAACGCGTTCTTGATCATCTCTCGGCTCTTAACGCGCGAGAATACGACGACTTCCAGTCCTTTCCTCACAACAGCACTACAAGCGGCGTTTTGTAAGCGGGCCCTGTTCGTGCCCTGTTGGCATCGGGTGCCGAATTGTTGCTACCCGTTGCAGCAGTTGTTCCATGTATCAACGGATGTTGCGATAGGTCGATGCGACACTCGTCGCCAGCATGTAGACATGAATCGACACGAAGAGACTCATGGGCGATTAAAGCAAGCCGAAACTACCGTCCATTCGTCGATTACGGCTTGAAACGAGTAAGTGCATTGTAGACTCGAGATCTATTTGTAACGAGCTGGTCGCTCGTTAAGAGCCGGGCTCGCACTTAGTAATTTGTGGAAGGCTTTTCTGTGCATGTCGTAATTTCGCCCCGACGTGGACTTTCTATTCTGGCAAAACCGAACGAACGTTCTCTTCACCTTAAATGCTTATAATAGGTAATGCGCATTTATGCTCAATCAGGTCGCACACGAGCACGCGCTGATGTGTGAGTATTCCTCCGTGCATGATTTCAATCCCCTCAACGTATCGATCGTATGTCGATCTGAAAGACGACAGGTATCTAGCTTCCAAAAAGAAAAGATACAGGCGTCGCCTGCGCGCGATGGCGTGTGCTTTCGTGGCTTGCGTATCGTCGTGGGTAGAGCGAGTTTTTCACGATGCCAGCCTTTCCCGCGACTTACCGCCACGCCAGGGAGAGGCGAGTTGAGCACAAGTGTCTGAAGAAGCATTGAATGGATTTGCAGGCTATTCAGAGGTTCTACGAGCGGACGTTGTTAACACCGCATCGACAGGGTAGCGCCCGTACGGCTCCCCGAAACGCGACGGTGTCGAGTATCATAATCGACCTGTAGATCAGCAATGGTTGTCCAATTGGTGCGCACCAGCAGTTAAATCGCCTGCAAGAGCCGAGACTAACGTCACCTGGCCTTGAGGCCAACTCATTTCAAAATTTGCGTTAAAGCGCGATGACGTCCCCGACAACGACAGCAGCTCCGCCGCGCTCGGAATACAACTCGACCATTTCGCGCAAACGGTCTTCTCCAGCCGTGAAGCCTCTTCCGGAAGAGGTAGCATGGCTTAAGGACATCAAGCTGGAACTAGGCACTGCCAATTCAATCCGCTCCTCCGTGCAATACATCATTCGCGTCATCTACCAGCCTACGGGGACCGCCACAACGACGTGGGAAGTGAAGCGCACGTTTGACCAATACAAGTGGTTCCAAAAGCGCTTGTTAAACCATCTACAGCCCAAGCACAGCTGCAAGGCAGAGTGCCGGTGGCTCCATACCACCATTAAGAAGCACTTCCCCAAGTCGACACTGGGCTCGCGCTACCCGGTGATCGTCGAACAGCGGCGGAAGGCGCTGCTTCAGCTACTGACTACTGTGCAGGCGTCGATCGTAAACCATGGAAACCGCAACTGCAAGGTGATGATGGAAGCCGTCTGTCAGGAGCTTTCCTCGTTTCTCGTGGGCGACCAGCACCCAAATTTCGTCGGTGTGACCCCGCCCGTGACGCCCACGACGAGCTCCGAGATAGAAACGTCGGCGCAGTCGCGGCTATCGTTTGCGTCATCCGTCTCGTCCGAAGAAGAGGAAGAAGCGGTCGTCAATTACGACGGAGAGTTGTTTATAGGTTGGAGTCTGCCTGTCGAGCACCTCCTGCATGAGCACACCCTGAGCTCGCCTGCATAAGTCAAGCAGCTAGAAATAAAGCAGAAAACAACCCTACAACTATCAATATGTAACTTATGTCACGTCTGGACGATTCCTATCGTCCTGGATTTTACTATCGTGTGTTCGGTCGACACTGTTGGCTATGAGTGCACACGCGTCAAATTTAAGCTCTGCACGATCCCGTAGCGGGATTGTGCGCAACGTGTGCCACCGTACGCTATTCTCCAGATGTATGATGCATCGCGATCGTGCGAATAGCTTAGTTGTTGGCTGTGCGTATGGTCAACGCCTCTGTGCTATCGACGGCACTATTCTCTCCCATGAAGGAAGATGACCGGACACAGGTGAGACTGAAAGAGACAGTATGAACGAGTTCGATCATTTGGTCAAACATCATGGTAGGACACAACAAATAGCGACTTGTGATGGACAAGGTGTAGATGGGACTAATTGGTCGGTGCGTCCGTTCTTTGAAGAGATTGACTGAGCGCCCAAACTCCGGCTCGCGCCCATCGTCGATATCCACTTCGTATACCGTAGATTCCAGTCTGATCCTCCTCCATCGCACCGGAGCTCCAACCTCAAAGGTGGTGGCTGCGATGCACGTCGGCAGGTCCGTCTCTCGCAGAGTCGTCGACCAGCGAGCACATGCTCTTTCTCGAGCCCTGGCGTCGTCCGGTCGTGCGACGTTGGAAACGGCCATGCTCACGCAGGATGACTGGACACGGACGGCTCAGCGATGTCAACCGCGCGCTGAGGTCTTGGCTACGACCCGCATACGCTATGCCCTGTACAACATGGCAATACAGACCGGCGCCACTTTGCAGGCTGCTTCGTCGTCGTTCCTCTTGTCCGAAAACGTCAAATGTCGTAGGCTACCTGTCGTTCGTTACACAAATGGTCCAATCGCCATCGTCCTTCGTTGGCTCAACGGCTGGGTCATTCCGCGAGTTGCCCGGTCGCGACGGACGTACATCTCAAGCGGCAAAGAAGCACGAGTATAAATTGTACAAGTCTCAGAAGGATCCCCGGTCGCCTACGACGTCCATAAGTTAGCACACAAAGCCCAGCGCAGCACAGCGGGCGAATCTCAGTTCAGACACACAAAGCCAGTCGAACTCATGGTAGACTCGACGGACGCAAGCTCGGACTGTAGCGCCAGCTCGGCGCCGCGCTCCGCCGCTGTCCGTAAGCGTGCCGCCCCCCTGGCCGTGCCCGAGGCCGTCGCGTGGCTGGACTTTCTCACGCTAGAGCTCGCGGCGACCAGCAACAGCGGCAAGACACAGTACCACTTGACGATGCGATACAAACCGAGCCACGCGAAGCTCTCGCCTTGCGCGTCGTGGACGCTGAGCCGTAGCTTTGACGAGTACCGGGCCTTTCAAAAGCGGCTATCAAAGTTGCTGCAGCACGGCCATTCGTGCGGCGCTGACTGCAAGTGGTTGTACAAGGTAGTGAAGCACTACTTTCCTCAAAAGTCTCTTTTCAGCAACAACTGCCCCAAAGTCGTCGCTGTCAGGCTACAGACGCTCATTCGCTGTCTCACCACCGTCCAGGCTTCCCTCGTGAACCGAGGCAACCACGGCTGCAAGGTGCTTGTGTCCGATGTAGGGGCCGAGTTCAATCGCTTCGTCGTGAAGGGCATGAAGGATCTAGAGGATAGCGCCGCAACTAGCGACTCGTCCGAGTTCAGCGCCGTCACGCGCGACTCGTTAGACTCCTTGGACTCAGAGAGTGGCTACGATAACTGCGAATCTGATGATGATGACGACGACGAAGGAGAGGAAAGCGAATGCGACGCTTGCCACAGCCGCCACGCCATGTGTCGCACCCATAGCAAACAAGCTGCTCATCCTACGTAGTTCGTAATCCTCACAACAAAGCAACTTATCTCTGTCATCGATTGACGATGCTTCATTCACTGGGACATGAACTCCCTTTCACTTAGCGCACGGACCTAACGTCGCACCCTTCCTACACGCCCACGTCTAGGCTAAACTAACAGTCGTGTACCTATAGCCGAAACGTATTTATTTACTAAGGCCTTCTTTGCTACAATCGAATGTGCTGGCGCGTTCTGCACTTCCCCGGTGCTGCTGGCGAATGTGGGACTATTGAAGGCATAGCGTGGGTAGGACGACCAGACTGTTGATCACATCTCTCACCAGCACCGCTCTACCGAGTGCTTGTGAGGCACGTTCCGCTATATCGGAGACTTTCTGATGGTCAGCATCGATGGATGACACAAGCTATGCGTCACGGCCACTCCTGGTGTCAACTGTTTACAACTTGTTACAGATAAACAACGGAACGACGTTTTTCTTCCAACAACTTGTAGGCCCAGAACAGACAAGGTGGAGTAGCTGATACAGCTCATGTCCACGCGTCAGATATAGCTGAGCGAAAATACCACCTTTGGACGGTCGTCACCACCCACAGACGGTGCCAATCGCCTGCTTCTTCAGCAGGAAGACGAGGCATCGGACTCAAACGTCAAGACGAATTATAAGTGTTAAGTGCCAACGCACGGTTCGAGTAGCGCGCTCATTGTATTCCGGCTGTCATTGATCGTATCAGCGGAGTGTTCAGCGATTACATCGACTGCAACGAAACTGACTTACCCGTCACTCGCCATCTTCCCGACAAAGCTGTTCAAGCGGATGCCGGAGTGAATGATGTGCCCATGATGTCTACGCTGAAAAATATATTTCGTTGTCTGACCACACCTGCGATTGCCTGGGTTCTCGAGGCGCTCCATAGTAGACGCTGAAGTGTGACCCGTTTTAGTTGCTCCAGTCTCAACCTACATCAGCTTCTTACCGTCCACATTTACCAAATCTGTGTTCTCTCAGGTCCGGTGCAATGCACGCTCGCGCCTACGTGCCGCTGAACTCTTTCAAACAGCCCGACTTGACCGTCAATGCTCGAAAACCAGGAAAAACGCCGAGTACATGCTTCGTATCGATCGCTTGTATTTGGGGCGGCGCCAGATACCTACTGTCGATGCACGTAGCATGTTTCGGCAGAGACCGGCGCGTGCTGTACATCGGGGCTACTACCGCATCAGGCGATGCCATCTCCGTTACCAGCATGCGCTTTCTTTACAAAGTGTCCTTTGACCGGTCTATTCCAAGTGTTTCGATATCGCCAAAATCGTGACGACGCCAAGCTTGCAGCCGAGTGGACCTGCTGTTTGTATCGCGCAGCAGAAATGGCAATAGCCGACATACGTGCTGTCGAAACTCCTCTTGAGCAACAAATCGAACCTCTCCTTACTGGGTAGGACGAACTAGTAGGCCCTGCGTACATATTTCTTCACCGTTGGCACGTAGAAAGGGCTGATAATTGCAAAATTGCACAGTTCGTTACCTCGCTGGGTCCCCTAGTAATAGTGTAAGGGAAAGCCATATGAAGGACGTTTAAGTGCTCCTGACAATGATGCATCATCGGTCGATAAAGTTCATAAGTATACCTCACTTTCACCACTACCACCTACTTCTGACACCGTGACGAATACTAAGTAACTTATGGACTATTTTTGATCATTTGATCACGACCCCTACTCGATTCATTTGTACCGAGGTGACCACCCAATCGCACGTACAAATTTAAATATTGTACTAATGACGCACTTAATTTTTGAAGATAATATAAATAAATGTCGAGAATCGATATATTTCAGCGATATTACCCAAAGGGGATGGCATATAAGAATATTATCATGTGCGGGTCGTTTGTCGGGTCGTTTGTCGGGTCGTTGAGCGAATAATACCCGTGAAGATTATATTCCCCTCTAAGTGTCAACGAGTTGCTCACAGACTGGTAGAGGCTATGCAATCATACACTAAATGATCAACGCTGGACGCGTACAATGTGTGGTGAGCAAGAACTTGGCACACTTTTGTGCATTTGAGATAGTCAACGTATAGTACATAATTCATTGAAGGATTGCAATATGCTCAATGCAATTCTACTATGTTCATTCGACTAAGCTTTTCTTGTAAAGCTTCACTACGCTTGATCTATATGTTACAGTATACTTGAGGTTCTAGATCACTATATCTACACTGGCAATCAGTGTAGATAGCTGATACTATCGTCGTTAGAAGCGTTTATCTCCCAGATATGGCATTCCTTTCCCTCCGTTCCTCAATATACATCAATTTCAACAACAAATATGGCATTCCTCTACAATAATACACTCAGCCCGTCCTTTCAATGATCCACTTTTAGGGACATGATAGTAGCGTACGGTGTAAGATTTGAGCAGTTAGACAACCTGTGATTCTGCTTATACACTAAAGCCTCGACGATCATACAGATAGGGTCTGTACTTTCTCTTCAAAATGGGTGGAAATCAAAACATGATCGCAGATCGTTGTAATTATGGAGTCTCAAATCCAATATTCTAATAAGTATTCCTGCTAAGGAAATACGAGCGCAGATTGCATGCAAAAGGTGCTGCACAGCCTGTAAATTCCCCCGCACTCTACTTGCCAAGTGCACCCACGTTGCATTCGCTTTTTGCGGCTAGTGCATCACCATAACCAGTCGTTCATCAGTACTTCCCCAAGGAAGCGAAGCAGTGCATCTACGGCATGCGTAGTTGGCATTCGCCGTTCTAATAAATAAAGCGAACATACGGCATTTATTGATGCCATCATCCCTTTCATGAATTTCGGGATGCTCACCTTACCTCCCAACACGAAGATGTAAGCAATAGTGAACTAAATATGGATTGGCGCTCACCAGCCATTGATTTGCTCTTGTTTATCGATGCTAGACAGACCATCTTCTGCGAATGGTGTACTTACGAGGGCCAACGAGCTGCTTTAGATCTTGCTATCGTATTTGATACTTGGAGTACAATGTCGTGTAAAAGGCATTGTAAATGTGGTGTCTAAAACTTGGTTGCAAGATAAAAGCGTCAAATACTTACGAAAAATAAGAAGCACAACAAGATGAGAAAGAAGTGCACCACGTGCTGATATGTATCTGTAATGCACGGAATAATAAAGTATATAAGATGAACCAAGTTATGTATCCGATACGTTTGGACATACACATGCTTACGATCGCATGGAAAACAGCTACTGGGTTGTTGAACTGCACACGAACGTCGTAGCGGTGTCTAGAGGGATTTCATGCTTGTCTGGCGATTTCGGACCGGTTTTTTTGTATCCGTCGAACACTAGTGATTACCAGATAGACTGTTGTCGCACACGCACCTTTGCCACGGTAAACATCAACTCGACGACAAAGTATTGACATTTATGTTTGCGCTGACGACATCTAAACTCATGAATTACGAATTGCCGCAAGTTGTCCTTCATGTTCGATGTGAAACGAGAGAAACGATGCAGTAACGGTTTTGTGATGTTAAGACCCCAACATTAATTACATCACTGCAACCGTCTACAACGTCGTTTGTGGCGATCCACAGGCCACTAGCATCGTGGTCCCTATCCGCGTGCATCCCACTTATCATGTCCGTAAGCAACCTGTATCAACCAGCGCATGTCTGTAACATCTTCACGATGCACAACTAGTTGGTGTGCGCGCATATCTTTTTGCGCCAGTCTTTGTCGCATGACGGCAGAGGTTTAAGAATCGGCAAGTTTTTCATCTGCAGTTTTCCTTTTGGCCAGAAAGTAAGACCAGTAGCACTAATACGCAGACTCTTTAACAAGTAGAGTGCCGCTCATGCCTTGTCGCATGCAAGTATAACACGATTACAAACATAGGCCAGTCATGGACGCAATGTATAGAATATAAGGCTATTGCACTGTCATAACTACCATACTATTATCTGAGAGCGTCCGAGCGTCTTCATCCTGATGCCATCAACGATCCAGAGTAATCAACCTCGTCAAGTCTCCTCGTCTCTTTTCCACACCGTCTGAATAGTCTAAGTCCAGCACGTCGGTCTCACCTGCCAAAGTTGCAACTTTATATGCTGAAGCTTGTAATGACAAAACTGTTGTAGAAGTGATCAATGCAAAAGTTAGATTCGTGCTGAGAGCGTTGCTTGTACTCTCTGCCTGCGAAAAGTCCAAGGGTTTTCATCTCCACTACCGAATCAAATCATCGTTCACACGCTAATCTGCCCATTTATGCCCACAGCGTGATTTTATCTTGACGCAGACCGTTTCGATTCCATCAAGCCATGACAAGAAGCTCCTCGAAACAATAATGCGACCAGTTGATTGCGCAACCGACTTGATAACGTAAACGATTACATTCATAAAGCGTTTACAGGTACTTGTTGGACTTTGCAATCGAACAAACAAATTTTTGTCAGCTATCCATTGTAGACTGGGTCCTCTTGCCACCATCGTTTATCCGTCGTCTTTTGCAGCACAAGCCGTCGTTTTTTCAACACCTATTACAGCATCGACAGTGATACTTGACACTCTGCTGTCTGTTCACTTCTAAGCTTAACGGTACCATTAAGGCGACAGATAGCCGGTGATACCATGTCGGATCAGTCATAAGTAAATGAAAGAGATCGAAGGATGAATGAGATAGAAGTCGTGTAGCAATGCAGACGAATGGTGAAATGTACGGTAAAAAGCTACGTTCAAGCCGTCAACAACGCACCTTTTCCGTCTTGCGTGATAACCTGCCGATGAAAGAAGTTGCGATGGTTTCTTAATTATTTGGTAGCAAAGGAAGTGATAAGAGAGACGTGAGTACACATGAAAGATCCCAGACAGGCGCATATTGGCATCTGTGGTGAGAACCTTTGGTTACTACTGCACCTTTTCTTTTTGCAACTATGTTGTGTGTATTTTTGGCTTTTTTCATCAAGGTGCATAAAAAAACAAAGTGTGCTTGTCTTGCGCAATCCTCTATCATGCGACGCAATAATATAAATGGACTAAATAAGGATACATAACGCATTAAACTTGAGGTTGTTTTAAGCTCGATAGTTTTATATTTTTACTCTTGAGGTATAATTCTATCGTGTGGTCATTGTTTTACTAATATTCTTTGTGGCATGTTTCATTTTAAGCTTATTGAACATTCTCTACAAACGTTGAAGCGTCGCACATGAAAGACAACAAATAGTCACCATCAATGCTGCTACCATGCATACGCACGTAGACCCGTCAAGATTTTGGCGCATTCATCTTGCAAGTAGCTGTTGCTGCACCTCAGTAATTACGTATTGTCTAAATCGACATACAAAATAATAATGGTGTTTATGGTGCCGGCAGAACTCGACGGGCGCCCTGTTGCACTTTCATCCCTCACCTTGCGAAGCACAACATTGAATTTGCTGATATAACATAGCTTTAACACCCACCAAAAGCTCTATTACCCATTCAACCAATCTTTCGCTTAACGGCGACACTAAGATCCATGTCTTCGTCTTCGTCTTCATCAGAGCTCTGCGCCACAATCTCTTTCTTTTCTTCCTTGCTCGGCTTCGCACGAGCGCTTTCATCTCTTTGTAATGCCGTGCTGAAGTCGCTCCGAATCACACCTCCCTCTTCTTCACTGTCGCTGTCGTTGTCAACAGGCTTTTTTGTAGCGGATCGAAAAGGAGTTGACTGCGCCTTGTCGCCACCGCTGATCAAAGTTTGTATCTTTTCGCTACCAGCCAGTCGGCGGAACTCACATCGAGCTGCATCCGTCATCGCAAGACCTGTCGCAGCGGGCACCAGCTCCCCCTTCGCGAGATCGGCGGCAGTCTCGAGCGAATCTAGGAATTCCGCCATTGATGTGACCTGTTGTGTAATCTCCTCCTTCGTGGGGTCATCCCGCAATGCAATCGGAGCATGCAGAACCGAAAAATCTGTCATCGGGCCAAGATCCACCTCTTCAACGCTTCTAGTGGCACGAGCTTCGTCCACCGTCGACGAAACATCCGCGAATGCCAGCCCTCGAAGCAATGCGCGCCGGCGCTGCACGGCCTCTTTGTCTGCTTTCTCTTCCTCCTCTTTCAAGAACGTCGTCAGCTCAATCGCACGCGCCGCTGCCACATTCGCACACCTCAGCACAACAGTCGGCGAAACAGCTGCCCCGCCGATTTTGTGCACAGCGCAAAGCTCACGGAACGAGTTGAAAGTAAGACTCATACGCGCATCCGTAATGCGTTCTTCTCGGTCAGACGGATCCATGAAGATAATGTGCTTGTCAACATCATCCTCATTTTGATTGGAACCTCGCACGTTGGCAGTGCATTCCAGAAAGCAAAACGAGATGGAGACGGGGATGTGATGAAGACTCAATGGCACTGCTGCACGCTCATCCACGCTGTACACAGTGACGCCACTATTGTGGTCATTACTTTTCATCACTGCGACCTCCGGTCGCCGGTAGTGCATGAGAGCTGCAACAGCTGCAAGAGACGCAGCGTCGACGAGATTACCGCCGTGATCCACCACGTGAACGTTGCAAGTGATGGCCCAAACCTTTTCGCCAGCAACCACAGCAAGCGCTTCTGTATCGAGGGCACGGCTATCGCGAACACTGCGCTCGATCAGTCGCGCCAGCTCTGCAGCTGCAACGGAAGAAGCAGAACCACGGCCTACAGAGGTCGACAGATCAAAATTGGGTGACGCCATCGGGGACAATTCCACGGAAAATTGAAGAAAGCCTTCGGTCGGGCGGTCTGGAAAAGGCGGCACGATCTCGCCATGTACATTGCCAATTACGCTATTCGGTAGCAAGAAATCGGTAGTTTAGTTAGCAGATTGACGTAAACGCATGACAACGAGACTATTCAAAACATATACGTTGGCCGTACCGAGTTCGGCCGAGCTGTACTTCTGCTTGGCTCTCACTCTCATTGCGACGAAACTGAACCCGAATCTGACGTTGCTGAAGCAGCTCCCGTCCATCGGCTCGTACATGCGGTGGCTGGCGCAGGCAGTTAGCCAGAAACTGGCGCTCGTTCTCGCTTAAGAAATCGTGCTCGTCCCGCAGCGCCATGGTGTGCTGCTGGTGGACGTCGCTGGTTCTAGAGTATGATTGCTGATTGGTGCATAACCGATGGGCTTAGGGAGGCTGGCTGCGTGCAAAAGTACGTAAAGCCATTTCTAGAGCTAAATATTGTCTTCGATTATCCTAAATTTGGCAAAATTAACTCATCGCGATGGACGGGTACCGGCAGACACTACTTGGACGAGCGTTGGCCGACGCGCTACAAGAGCTGGAAAATGAGCAGAGAGCGGACGGTCCGAGCGTCGCTGATTTGGACGTAGACGGTGACCACTTGTTCGTACTGTTTGACGAGGCTATACGGGCAGAGTTGCGCGATCTGCGCAACAGGAGCCACAAAAATCAGGTCCGCAGATTCACGCACGAGAAGCTAAATTTATCAGGGCAGATCGTGGCATTTAACCGTTATATGAACGATTGGAGTGTACAAGCGTGCATCAAGGCATCGGGCATAAAGCTGGATCAAAGTGTCGCTGATTTACACTTGCCAAAACAGGGTCGATTGCTGAGCCACGAACAGGAGGCAAACGTCCGGCTTAAACTGCGACAGCAAATATGACCGTTCTATCGATCTGCGAACCAACGTATTCTAGAGCTATCACTGCACCGCCTACTAGGAACAATACGTAGAAACGATCCGACGAGCATGGCCCAAACTGCCACTGACAGAGCAATTGTTGATGCTCCGCTTACGCACGTGTGTTAGGGTGGTTAGCCGTGGTATTAATGTCGGCGGTAGCAGCTCAGCCGACAATAGCAAAAAGCACAGAAAAACGTGCATGTAGTGCAGGCAAAATTAAAAATCATTCGACGAAGTCCACAAACAAATAATAACAGCATCAAGTTGTAGCGCCAGATGTACTCAACCTATTAAATTCTTAACTAGAGCTCGTTTTGCGTGACAGTCTCGAATCTCGCAGAGTAGATATTTCGCTCTCGATGCTAAATAGTGTCTTAGAATGCAAGATGTTAATTGCGCCTCCATAATTATAGCGCGAAGTCATATCGACGTATAATGAGCCTTGTATGCTCACGCGTGTTTTGTAAATTTAGAATTACACGATTACACGGCTAAAGACCCCCACGCGAGAAATTGATATGATGAGGGCAAACGATGATTATATGCTTCCTGCTCGAAGCTGATAAGGAACGAAACACTGAAGCTTAGCGGGATGCACGGACATGCTGTTTAGTGATGTGTTTGCAAATCAACATTAGTTGTGCAGGCGCAATCTAGCCATACATGTCTCACTTTGTATCGATAGAAGATAGGAAAGACTACAGCGCAAGAAGCATGTTGTCGTCCACAAATGCCAACCACCACATTCCGTGAGGGCGATCAGACTGTCTATTTTGTACATAGTACTATTAAAAAATGATTGTGTAGGTATTTGTCTGTATCATCCTACGATGGCTATTCCCGGGTAATGGGGATCATCTCTGACAAACAACAAATCAGCCTGTGTACCGTACCTGAAACGAAGTGAGCTCATAACATAAAAATTGATACGAATGTATCAATTTTTGAATATTATTATTTTTAAATAATTTTAAACAACATTACTTGAGAAGAGAAAATGTTCGCGGAAGATTACCCCTGAGGAATATATTCACTTGTTGGTTGATGTAGACACTGCATCATCAAAATTTAACAACCGATTGCTGCTAGAAGCGCGCAATGGGTGGTGAGCAAGAAACCCACATAGGAGATTGTAAATGCATATAGTCAGATAAAGACAAAAATGGTTTATTTACAAGACTTAATTATATTTAATCACGGTTCTACTTTTCCCTTAAACAGAGCTTCCGAGATCTATTCACTTCTTCGCGCTTCCTCAAGCCAGGTATACGTGAAGTAGAAAGTACGCAGCCTTGTGTTCTATAAACACGAGATCCTTACCAGTCATCTCGTAAGAGCGTGCCCGTTACACCTGGTGGCACTTAGTAGTCCGTCCAAAGACCACTACCACCTCATTTGAAATGAACATGTTGAATGAAGAAAGGATCTTTCACGCCGCTCGTGAAGGCTTTAACCATTCAGGTGACATCGAATGGAGTGCGGTAGAACTGATGAGTTCTAGCGTAGGCGAATTCGCCATTAGCGCCATGTTGGAGTCTCTTGACAGGGATTAACAACAAGCCGCTATAGTTAGGCTCATTCATAATGATCTTGTCGCTGAAAGAGAGAAAATAACCTTGCTTCACCATCTAGGCTCTCAACAGGCCAAGCAGGTGTGGGAAATCGGTGCTTAAGATACATATCTGTTTAGAAAGCATCAATACAGTGCTGCTGTGGGTGGGACGACACACACGCGTCATCCCTAAACTCTGAAGATAGACTTATCCAAGTACAAAGGAGTCGAGGAAGACTACCTGTTGAGATTGTTCGTCGAGTTGGACAATGCCATAAGAGCTCGTCGCATCGTCGAAGACGAAACACAGGTTGCAAGTCGACCAGTCCAACTTGGCTGATCGTGCGAAGGCTTGGGACTTAAAGATCAAGCTCCACGACTCATTTTCATTTGGATCGTTGCAAATATTTGAAATCCGGATCAGAAAAACATCTGAGCCGCCACAAGCCGAATTTTCGGGCTGGTACTGAGCTCTCGAAACACTGACAAGGTAAGCATGATGTGCATGCTTACTCGCAGCACATCCGATGCCTATCGAGTTGCAAAATACCGCCAGAATGATAGATGAACAAACGAAAATCACTGTGCTCATCCAGTGTCGACTTGACGGACCTGTCAATATCCACCTGTTCCTTTGGAATTAGAGACACTAGATCAAGCGGTCTCAGCGTTGGAATAGAAAGCATTTATTTTTAGACAGACTCAAACTAATTCGACTACCTATCGTCCAGCCAGACGACAGAAAAGAGAAGGTCCAGAACTAATGGAAATTTGTTATGTTGAGAGCAAGATACTTCAAACAATAAGCGATTGCAGAAGTGCATTTGCTGTCACTAGTTATGACACTACAGTCATGATTGTAGTGCCCCGCGCATAGTATTATCAAGTACTGAGCGAAATGATCTACCATTTGCCAAGAAGGGCAACGGGCGTAGGTCCAACGCTGTTGCGGAAACGCAACAGCAAAGCGAACCATTCAAAAAATGGTCGGGGTCAGTAGGGACGGAGCGCCCTACCGATCCAGCAACCCCAAGATAATTCGCAACGAAAGTTGGTCCATATGAACAATCATTGTGCGTCTCTACAACTGGTGATGAAATATCACTTATCACATTGAACTTGCAAGTGACTAAAGATTTGTCACTTCGCGCTCTAGTTGACTGTGGGGTGTCGAACAAATTGCTCGTCGTCAGTCACTAGAGAGTCGTAGGCTCAAGATCGGTGAGTGCAAAACCCCTTAAACGAGAATGACGGTGCGCCTTGCCACATGCGCATTCAACCGTTGAAAAAAAATCGTGTCGTAGTAATCCACTCTACGTTAGAGGGCGGACAGTATGATGATTGCTACATCGTCCTAAATCTGGATGGGAAATTCGATGTTATTCTGGGATTATCTTACCTTAGTAGGTACGAGCTTAGGTGAAGCGGCAGCATCGATCCTTGAAGATACCGGCCACTTATTCATGAGATGGCCATATAATGAACGTCTTGGACGTTCACAGGCGTGTGGATGTACTGCGAGTGAATTCGATGGCCTCACTTGCGGTACGGTCGTTAGCGCGACTGCTCAAGACTTTAGTGTAGTTAATCACCTAATTATTGTTAAGTTCCCGACGGCTGGAAAGACTTACAGGCACCGCCGACGGTCCATTACTCGAATAAGTCTAGTGGTCCGGGGCACGGATGCATGCCAAGCAGGACACATCCTAGTCAGAACAAATTGGCTGTATAAAGCGGCAATACGGTTATTCTACATCTACTGAAGAGTCGACCCTAGAGGATCGGTACCCAAATGTGGTTGCACAGCCACAATCAGAGAAATCGAGTTAATAAGTCCCCACGTGCTTGAGGAAGGAATTACAAAAGAGTTACTTGCTAAAATATTTATCTCGCAGCAATCTAAGCGGACAAGCTCTCAGCAGCCCGTAAAACAAGTAATTAGGAAGCAAGCGAGACGTTAAACGTCTTGGTCAAAGAAAAATCAAGAGTAGGCGCTTATACACTTGATCTCATTGTTTCCGAGTTCAACTTCGAAGATAACTCAATTGCCAACTATAGAATTGAAACGACTATTGCGTGATTTGCGTAGTAGAAAAGTCACGCAAATTTGCATACTCGTCACTGAGGATGAGTGTGTGAACGATATTCGTCGGCAACAGTATATGATGAGAGCCCGTTAGTTCTCAGCAGCTTATTGATGGAAGAAAGTTTCCTCTATGAGAAGGCTCGGATTGAACTACACACGTCTCAATCCTGGGAGTCTCTTCCGATAAATATTTTGTATAAAGATTTGATCGAATTCAGGATTTTGTTTCCTTAACTAATGCCATGCGATTTGACTAAGGACAAAGGCACCCAGCACGAGATCGAGCTCAGAACGGGCTCGAAGTACTGTGTCATAAATCAGTGGCGAAGAACTTTTAGACAAGTACAAGCGATTGGCAAGTTCTTTTCCCGTAGATTTTCAGCGGGCCATATGAAGAAATTAACATTCCCTCACAGCTTTCCGATCTTCTGTGTGCAAAACGCCACAGCAGGATGGCGAATTATGCATGTATTTAACAAGTTGAATGATGCAACGGTATCGGCGTCCGAGCCGATACTCGAGGAAGGACGTAATCATAGATGACATGTATAAGGGTACCATCTTCTCGTCTATGGATCTGATGGAAGCCTTCTGTCAGAGCTTCATGCGTGAACAGGACATCCCGTACAAAGCAGTGAGCACCCCCAGCAGCATGTTGTGGGAGTGGCTAGTGATACCACATGGATTTAGTGACAGCCCTTAAATCTTAAACTGATGTGTAACAAATCTGTTGAGACCGGTGAGAGAATTCGCACCGAGTTATTTTGGCGATG